ATCATTATTATCATCATTCACTATCTTATTTCGTTTTATATGATTATTATGATTATTATTATAAGTATTATATTATTATCATAATTATTCTTATCATTATTGTTATTAATATTATTATTACCATTACTTTTATTATCATTATTATCATTGGTAACAATACTACTAGTTAGTAGTAGTAGTGTAGTAGTAGTAGTAGTAGTAGAAGTAGTTGTAGAAGAGTAGTAGTTAGTAGTAGTAGTACTTTTATTCTTATTATTTATTACTATTATCATATTATCATGGCACTCTACCCCTCCACTCACCATTCCTATCGCAATGCCCGCAGCTCCTCATACAATTCTGCAGCATGAAGTCCGGTGTTTGTGAGACACTCCCTGTTTCTTGCCCATCCGGACACTCCTTTTTCTCGTCTTTACACGGACCTGAAAGAGTTTTTTAGAATAATTAATTCATCTTTCTTGTAAAAAAGATGATCACTAAAAAGAAATACTTGAGAATAAATATAAATAACGCAGGATCGAGACTTTCCAATAATGAAAGTATCAGTTATTAGGGCAAAACAGATACAGTACGAATACCGAGATGTACATGTAGATACATTGATTTTATAATACATTCAATAAACAAAATCTGAAAACCATGACTCGGAAATCATTGACGTTAAGAGATAAAAAGTTAACGTAATTACAGTTCTATTTGTACGTATGAATATAAATTTGTGTATAATACATGCAGGTGAAATAAAATATTGAAAGTCATGGGTAATTTCGTTACGTGTATAAATGGTGGAAACATATATACATGTATGTAACAGAATTAGATATGCATGGCATACAGTTGTAGATATAGGATCCTCTGACCACTGCTGACAGAGAAGGGGGAGGGGAGTCACTCAATCAGGTCTAAAGTAAAGGGTTGTCACGCAAGTTAACAAAACGTGTTCAAATGCGTGCGCAATCCTTTTTCTCCTGAACAGTACAATGTTCATTTGATGATCTGGGCCATGATTTGTTAAAAAAAAGTTATCAATCATTTTCAATAATTGTAATAGGCTACTGAAATCGTGGCAATTTATTGGCTTTTGGCAATTTTATATAAATCTGCTGCCAGCTATTATTGATTATACATTTTTTGGAACAGGGCCCTCATCTAAAGTGCTATAACACAACGTTCATTTAGCCCAAAGCATCATCTTTCTCACATTCTATTTTCAACCTCACACCCCCCCCCCCCCCCCCCCCCAAACTACCCTTCAGGCTGCAGACTACGTCTAGTGGCTACAAATGTGAATTTCCTAAAGTTAAGATTACAATGCCCATGCGCACACGAGGCGTCAATATTTTCCTGACGCAGTACTGCGCCAGCGACTGACACGGCCTTTAACCTGCCATGGGAGAGTGACATCGTGACCAAAAATGAATGGAAATATAATGAATGCGTCAAACATTGCGTTTATTTACTGGCGCACGCGATATTAGCGCAAGTGAATGACGCGATTGCAATGACGCCCCGTGTATAACGGACACGGAGTATCCAACATGTATCAATCAGTTTCTATATACTTACGGCCAGGGGTTGCAGTGCACTTGCCGCAACTGGCTGGACAGTTGCCTTGCATCCATGATTTGGTCTGCGGGTTGACGCATTCCTCCTTCTTAGCCATTCGGGGCAACGAATGAACATGTCCCGGCAAGTGACCGTGGGTTCAGTTGGGCTTGCTAGAGCATTGGAAAAAAAAACGAATGGGAAAAGGAAGAACTCAAATCATCATGATATTTCGGATTGAAGAAGGAACTGCCGCACCTTGATGAATATTAAGAGAAGTAATGCAGGTAGCAATCACATGATAATGTTGATAAAGGTGAAAACGCGTTTTGTTGTTGTTACCATCAATGACAAAAGTCCTCATCCCATCATGCAGCCTCTCACCCATTCTCCCGTCTCTCACCCCCCCCCCCCCCCCCCCCCTCACTCTCTCTCTCTCTCTCTCTCTCTCTCTCTCTATCATGAACAGGTGATTATGTGAAGTAGTCGTTGTCTTTATTTATGCACTTGACTCTCAATCCAAGGGTTGAGGGTTCAAATCCCAGCCGGCACTAACGTTCTTCGGCAAGATATTAATCTACATTTGCCACTCTTTACCCAAGTGTACATGTCTACTTGGTTATGCTATAGTTTAATAATAAGTACAGTGCCTCGGCATAGGAAGTGCAGTAATAATACTTAATGGCTACTCTGGTATGGGTAAATAAGACCAATTATGATTATACTCATTTAAAGCCCCACTGCACTAGTTTGGCCAGGAGTGATTAGACCTCCCTGCATGGTCATTGACAGGTGGTTATCTCATCAAATCAGCTCTCAATTAACATAAAAAAGGGGATCATGGGGGACCAATGGTCACCGATTGTGCATTTTTTGCTATATAGAGGGCGCAAGTAGTTCTAAGTAGTGCAGTGGGGCTTTAAAAGATGGACCATGTTGGGACTCACGATCAGGTGCAGCACTGCATATGCCACAGCTTGCTCGGCAGGTGGTAGCCATGTAGTCCTGATAGGACGGACTGAAGCAGTAACCTCTAATGGCCCAGGATGAGCACCCATTATTGTTGTCAGTACAACTAGGGACTCCTATAGGTGAGTACAAAGACGGAAAATGAATTGGAAAGTTATCCTCTGGTTATTACAATATTAATTTGGATTTATCTAGCGCTTAACACGAAGTACCATCTCTAACCGCTTTACATATACTATTACCCGGGTCATCGGATTCATTCACGCACAATGTGCACCATCTCCTCTACCTGGGGAGTATAATCCGACCATATGGTTATCGTGAGGGCATATGGCAATGAGTAACACAAAGACTTTCGTCGTCCTACCAGGTCCCCATTTCTATCCGGGGTATGGAGTGGCAAATGTAGATCAATGCCTCGCATAAAGACATTAGTGCCGTGTCGGTGATCGAATCCACGACCTTTGTATTGCAAGTCAAATGCTTAAACCACTCGACTACGACACCTCTACCTCTAAAAGGTGACACAAAATAAAGAAGATCATTCATGTTGAAAAAATAATGATGATTGGAATTCATTAGACATCAAAGAATGATAGGAAAATTGGTTTCAGGGGCGGATCTAGGGGTTTCGGAGGTTTAACCCCCCCCCCACCCCCCCCCCCCCTCCTTGAGCGGCCAAGTGAAAACAAATAGGGAAAAAGAAGAAAAAAGTAAAAGAGTAAAACGGCGCGATCTTTGGTAAATCCTGGATCCGCCTCTGGTTCAACCCCCCCCCCCCCTTTGGCAAAAGCTAGATCCTCCCCTGGGTTTTCCAACATTTTGTTTAATCCAGTCGATTTGCAATGAATCCCTTGTGTAGTGGCAATAGGTTTAATGCATGGCTCGATTATAAATGAATGAATTTAAGCGAGGTACAAGTAGAAGATGAATGTTAGAACCCCCACACCCCCAATGAAAAATAATGATATTAATCATAATAAACATAAAATCAAAACATATAGAAATCAATCAATAATATATATATAATAGGAAAATAATTGATCGATCAGTGAATAGACACTTTCCAATGTTAACGAGAGAAAGCGTGTTGAGCATATCTCACACTTCTTATGTTACTCTATCCACCTTTCCTTCTTACTCTTTCTTACATCGTATAGAGACATTATTGGGAAATGCGCTATATACAGTACAACATATTATTATTATATATTATTATTATAATATACATTATATCATTTATCCAGAACGGCACATGCTCTTTGGTATCTTCTCACCTCCACCCCCAGTTCCACAGTTGTAGTATGCGTTGATCTTGTATATATCGTTCTCACTAAAATCGTTCTTGTTTCCTATGGCATAGTTTCCCTGGCTTGGTTGGATAGTAAGTTGACCGTTAATGGTGAACGCGTCCTGTGGATAATGCATCACCGAATAATAATCGTAACTCGTTTGAAGGTGGTCGATCGCGGCCTCGTCGAACTTGTTAAAATTGAATTCCATCCCTTGAGAAGAGAAGCGAGAAAAAAAAGTAGGATATTTTGGGTCAGCGTAGATTAGATATGAAATTGGCATTCATAGTGATGGTACCTTTGTATTTTAATGGAAATGTCTGCTATCTTAGCTCCGTTTCCCTGTTTATCTGTTTTCAGTCAACCAATCATTCATTCATTCATTCCACTCTCCCTCCCCCCTCGTCTTATCCAAAATCTATTCTTCAGCACTGTCTTCCTTTCCCTGTTCTTTCCCTGTCAACTTCCTTCATCTATGCCATTCTTCCCTTCAACCTCAATTTCCTCGTTCTGTCCCGTTTCGCTATTTCGTTCATCCTCCCTTCATCCTTCCTCCTTCCCACCATCCCTCTTTCCCATTACCCATCCTATCTTTCTTCACACAAACCTAGAACCCCTCTTTTCTTCCTCTACTCCTCCCTTCACCTCTTCTTTCCCCACACTTTGCATCCCAAGTCCTTTCCTTTCTCTTCAAACTCCATGACAGCATCGTCATCATCGTCATCGTCATCATTGTCTTTCCCCTATTATTCAATCTTTCTTTCCCCCCCCCCCCCCCTCCTTCTGTATTTATTCTGTCCACCCTCCTGCTACATCCCTTCCTCGTCCTCCTCTCCTCGATAAACATATATCTCTTCTAACTCGATCCATGACCACCCCCTCCCGCTCTTCCTTTTAAAAGCCTTACTCCTGTTTTACTTCCTATTTGCACCCCCCCCCCCTTTTTTTTTCCTCCTACACCCTTCGCCTCTTGCACTTCTCTATGTAACATCCTCGCATTGTCTTCCAACCCCACTCCACTCATCTCTTTTCTCTCTTCTCCCACATATTTTGCTCTAACAAGGAACTGCTCTATCTCTGCAGATCCTTCATCAGCATTACCTCAGTTTGTATGATTATGCCGTAAAGATCAATTTCCTAAAGATCCATTTTTGTATAAACCTAGAAAGATCGGTCTTTATTTTGATTTGTTTTTATTTATAATTAGTATTATTGTTTTGAGGGAGGGGGTCACTCATCCAAAATAATTATAATTTGGGATAGGAGATCAGAGAGCAAATCTTTGTTTGCTGTTCGAATGATAGGGTTCAATCGCTGGGTGGCTGATTTTTGCCCTCTGACGGATCCCCCCAAAATGGGGGGGGGGGGTGATTATTAAAGGGCAATCTTTTTTACACCGATCTGCATGGCATAAAATGCCGACCATATACCTGGAATGATATTCTGCCAATAGATCCATACGTAGGAGTCCCTGTCCGCTCTAGACTGCTCATGCTGGAAGCCGAGGGCGTGCATGAACTCGTGGATGATGGTGCCAACGTTGTATGTGCATGTTCCACCGAGTGAGACAACCTGCCTTCCACCCTGCATCCCTACCGAAGAGTAACACCTTCAAAAAAGATCCGTGAGAAGGTTTTAAATGGCCCTTCATTGAACTTCGTCTCATCGAGATTCAATTGTAATATATCTCATACATTTCCACATACATTTCACGTCGAAATCTCAAAGTTTCCGGTCTAAAAATCAGTTTACAGTCCTCCTGCAACTTGAATAGTATCTCATGTGAGCGAGCGTAGCGACCAAGCAAGAAGATTATTCTATTTTGAATCACGGATATACGGATATATTACTACGTATTAATACGAATATAATTTATATGGGTATTGACTTTGTCCTTGATTTTTCGAAAACAGTTGCGATCGGGTTAGGTAATTCTGCGATCTCTGAATTCACAAAGGAGGTTTGTCGACAAACCTTGGTTTTCGTGCGTCATATGACGTACATAAACCTTGGTTTGTCGACAAACCTCCTTTGTGAATACGGGCCATGATGTTTGGGGCCAAACTTACCCCTCTGTTGGTACGATATGCAGGTAGTTTTGCTGGTTCGTCCTTTGCACAAAGTTAAGACAGGTGTAAGCATGGTAGCGATTAATGGCATCCATAATTCGGGATCTTGAACCAGAGTCTGATTGAAGAGAAGAAGAAAAAAAAAACTGAGAGTGGATCATATTACTCAGAAAACTGACAGTCAGATACAACTTCGGAAAACCGAGCACATGCAGATACTTGGATAACAGGAATTCAGTTTAAGCTACGGTCACAAAGGTTCGTGCGAACGATAATTTCGTACGAATCTCCCTGTTTTTCCATTGTCTTCCCGAATTTGCATTGTCTGAAAATCGTTCGTACGGCGTTCGTAGCAGTTCGTAACGGCATTTGAGACCGAGGCTATAGTTAATATGAAGCCCTCAACGTTCAATACGAGGAAAGGTTTACAAAAGGCATGGCGGGAATTTTGCAGAGTCAATTTATTGTCGATTCATAAAATTTCCTTATCGTGATCTCAAATTTTAAAAATCAATTACCTTTTTAATTTTCACTGTTACACAATTCCCCCCCCCCCTTCAAAGTCACTTTGTATATGGAGTTGAATATTCCTCTAACGGAAGAAAATGGTTATTATGTAAGGTCCCGGGTTCGATTCTTGATCGTGCTTACATCCTTGGGCAGGGTGTTTCGCCCATATTTGCCTCTCTACACCCAGGTGTACGAAATGAGTACCTTGCCAATTCGGGTATAATAACAAATCACCGGGACCACAGGAAGAGCGGCTATCCCGGACAAGTAAGACGAAATGATTACTAGTATTTACTCATTTTTAAATGTATATCGACTACCAAATGATGCGTTAATGAATAATATAATGATAATGATATACCATTTTTGTATATATAGCGGATATTACATTACGATGGACGTCTCTAGGCGCTTCGAACATTGTCCGAAGGACTTTAGATATTATTACAGTGCATTCAAGGAATTAATCCTATACCAGGTAACCACTTACTATACATGGGTTAAGTATAGTGCCTTGCCAAAGGACGTATAGCACTGCGGAAGGGATTCGAATCCCGTACCCTGCGGTTCCCCGTCTGGAGAATTATCCACTAAATTAATGTATTAGTTGTATTACCAAATTGATAATCGATGAAGTAGTAGACCGTCCTATCAGTCCACTGGTAATATCGGTTCCTGACTGCATTTCGCTTCTTGAGTGTAGCACCAAATTCTAGATCGCCGTGTTCCTGTTGGTTGGAAGCGAAAGAGTTCATTAAAATTAAGTATTGTGTGCGTGGGAGTGTTTCACAAAGACTTAAGTTGGACTTAACTATGGCAGGCCAGTCATACCACTGGTTGCTCTCACCATTGCTCTCTGAATTATGATCTTTAGATGATATAAATGTAAATTTTGTAGATTTGTGACCACGATTTAAACGTCCCTTGAGAAACTAATGCCAGAAATGGTTACGAGGAACTAGTGACATGAATGGCCTGCCATAGTTATTTACAACTTAAAGTCGATCTTTGTGAAACACCCCCTTGAAAGGCGAAACTGAATAATTGTAACCCTAGGGTCCCTCCTCCCGATTTAGCTGATTGAGATGTGCAGGTGGACCACTACACCGGATTCCCCTGCTCTTATTCGAAAGGTGCAATGGGTTCTCAACGTGCAAATGTGGTAAATCTCCTCTTCACTTGACCTCCAATTATCGTCCTATCCGAGGTACCGAGAGTTTTCCACTGTAAAATTGCCTGCGTCTATCGTCTATGAAACAGGGGATCTGCCTGGGTTGGATTCGAACCCATGATCTTTGATTTGACAGGCAGACGCTTACGACTATAAAGCCAACTCTCTCCCATCAAATTAAGGGCGTTAAAGTGTTCAAAGCAAAATAAAATGGTGTTTCGAAACAAAATGAACAAATAGATGAATAAATAAACTAATAAATAAATAAATGGAGCTAGGGGAACTCCAAAGAAAGCTGCGCATTACTTGGAAATAAGCATAAAGGTCACTATCAGAAAAAGAAAGAAATTACGAGTACATTTTCTAATCATTAACACGTTATTTTTTTTAAACTATGACAGTCATCTTGCTGCTGCTCACCACAAGTTTGATTGATTGTGTGTCATATCATACCGGAGGATAATAATAATATTTTTAGAATGACATGATTCTAATAATAAACCTATATAGGCCTAAGTCATGAAATGTGATATTCTTTTGAGCCCTGTATACTTACTGTGACATTGTAAGGTACCCAGATATCAAACTGCAGTAGATGTTCTCTCGCGTCTGGTAAAGAAAGAAATAACATTTTATATTAAAAGAGCCATTTGGAACATTGGATTTTCAAAATGCAAAAGCAATACTCTCGCAATGGGTTTGCTAGATCATTCCAATAAATCTCTTATTCCTCCTTTATCTATTCATCTTATCTACAATACATTAGATAATCTATCCAGAAAAATCGGTGAAAAGGCATTTGTGTTTAATATGTAATCTACCCCGTTGCTTCGATACGTGGTGACACGTACTGCTAATGCTCCCTCTGTTGTCACAGCTTGGCAAATAGTGACACTCTGTTATTTTGATTGATAGTGGAAAGTTGACATTGGTCGTGATTACAGTATCCGTTGTTATATTGATGAAAGAGATAACCAATGTGTTTTTAAAAAGTTTATTCAACCTGTCCAGGCTACCGATTATCCAATATCAAAGGTTGAATCGTGATATTATTATTATGGAAGTGGCCAGTTACATGTACTTACTCGAAAGGATGCCCGAATTGATCTTGCCTATCTCCTGCATGGAGTCTGGTTGCTTGTAGGTGCCGAAGGTCTCAAGATCTGAGGAAAAACGGGATTCACAAAAGCGGATATTAAGCATCGCCTTTCATTTATTATTATTATTTTTTTAGTAGATGATGATCCACACATTTGTCTTTTAGCACGTTCATATCACGCAAGGTGTACAAAGCGCTCCATTGATTATTACTCCGGCTCTCATAAGGCAACCGATGTCGGTGCTCACAGAAATAAAGAGATTCTTTTCAGCCGGTACCCACTCAACACCTGGGTGGAGAGTGGCAAATGTAGACTAATGTATTGACAAAGTGGGGTAGTGCCGGGGCTCGAACCTACAAATGTACGGCCGTGACACACACCTATAAACCCTTCCCCCTTCTTCTCCTTCTACTTCTCATCCTTCTTCTTTTTCATCATCTTCTTCTTCTTCTTCTTCTTCTTCTTCTTCTTCTTCTCCTTCTTCTCCTCTTTCTTCTCTTCTTCTTCTCCTTTGTTTTTATCTTCTTCTTCGTTCATACATCGTCCTCCCTATTCCAAATGAGTGGATGCTAGTCTTGAAGCACTGGAGTCGAATTCATTTTTCATATGATTTCGAGGGATAAACTCATATAGGGGCGACAAAATAGACACTCGCGGATTACAAATACCCCGCCCGCCCCTTCTAACATGTCGGATAGTGGCATACATGTAGATCCGCCCCTATGTCGTGTTGAGGTAACCATGGAGGATAGTCATAGATCCGCCCCTCAATATGTCATTCATGTTAGATGTTGAGGTAACCATGGAGAATAGTCATAGATCCGCCCCTCAATATGTCATTCATGTTAGGTGTTGAGGTAACCATGGAGAATAGTCATAAGTCCGCCCCTCAATATTGCCTCCAAGTCAGGAGTTGATGAGGTAACCATGGAGGTCATCATGGGTTTATGTTTGTTGTGCTTTGGTGTCATTTCCTTTACTGGAAGAGTTGAAACGAAAATAATGCATCTTCCTCCGTATAATATGAGGTATTAATGAGTCATGTTTTAGGCCACGTGACTAATCGGCGTTCCCTATTGTCTCGTTTATTTCCGGGATTGATCTGACCTTTAACCTCGTATACATGTACACGATGACCGAGTTAGAAAACCGAGCTCTCATTCATATGCGTGATAGTTTCATATTATAGGCCTGTTCTTTTGTTATTTTGCTTTATCTATGTTAAAAACTTACCCTTTTTAGTGGGCGTACGTTGGTCCACCTGTTTGCAAAAGGTATGAAATAATTCAAAACAAAATATCAGGTTATTCCATTAAACTTGAGGCAATCTTGAAATATTCATGGTAATGGGGCTGTAATGGGATAGAAACGGTTAACGTAATTTTGTATTATTTGTCATTTAGAAAATGATAATATTTGGGCACCTCATATTTGGACAGTGAAATGCCCAAATGCTCTCACATTCTGGCGGCGAGATGCCCAAATATATCCTAACATTTGGACAACGAGGTGCTCGAATGAGTATTTTCGATTTTCGATGGTGGAGTATTACACTAATACTATAGTTTTTCGTCTTGCATGCATCGGAATTAATGGCAATTAGATCAGTACTGAAAACTGAAATCAGACAGTTTACCAGAAGCCACAAGAACAAAGCGCGCGATTGTTTAATTTTTAAAAAGCGATATTTGTTTATCTCTCACTCGGCTCGTTTGCACGATAATAAGAAACTGGAAAGTTGAAATTTAGGCAAGAGGGGCTCCCCTTGGCAACATACACCAGTATAGCTCATAAGCGAATAATAATGGACTTAATCTTACCGCAAAGACCGGTACGCCATTTTCATTGAGGTCTCCTGATATGTTGAAGTTTAACGCATCGGCAGGATCTATTATCGTGGGAACTTCTGTTGTTGTGGTTGTCTGAAGTTAAAAGATTATAAGAATAACAGCAATAACAGTTAGTCCATTTCGGTGGCGTATTCATTCCTCTCCTGCTCTTTTTTTTTGTTTGTGGAGAGGGGGCACTGCCGCCCCTCCCCCCCCCCCCACACCAGTCCGAAAAGGAGTGGGAGAGGAGGAAGAAAAGGGCTGATGGTGATGATTATACTATTATTATTTAATATGAATATTAGTATTATTGGTTAATGATGATAATAATAATTATGATAAAAATCATAATAATATTATAATAGTAGTAATAATGTTATAATAATAATAATAATAATGATAAAATATGACATTTACTTTCATAGATCTATCATAACTGTTTGCAATTAGAAAAATCTCTGGCAAAATCACTATCAAATGTGTATTTTGTTTAAGTACTTCATTTGTTTTCCATTGTTGTCCAAAACTATGAAAGAAAATTTCAGTAATTATGATTCATAGAAGATTTTAATTTCCACAGTTTCGCCACTGTAACCACACATTTCCTGAAACATATGCAAGCCAAAGTCTCTATAAAATCTTCCAGTTAAATGATGAGGAAATCATTCCTGGAATTTGGATTCCCATCAAAAATGTCCAGTGCGACCGAGAAAGTTGTCACGTGAGCACTATGGGCGTTTTTCATCACCTGTCTACTGCGCATGCTCCAAAGTCAAACCAATCAATACGAGCGGTTTTAGTAAATTTGAGGATGCGTATTCCTCAAAAGTCAAACGAATCAGTACGTGCAGTCCTGTCAATTTTTGTAGATGCATGGTCAAAAGTCAAACGAATCAATTAACACGGTTCTAGTTATTTTCAGGATGATCAGAAGTGTCCCACCCCTTACAAAATAGAAGGAATAACCCCTGTGTAAATCATAGGCCTCCATGACCTTCAACCCAATGCAGGGATTGTTGTTAGTTTTGATTGTGACATCGATGACAAGCAAAACAAGTTCTTGGTTATGGTGATTAAACACTGATAATCTATCTCGGTAGGTCACTTCTTTACGTCCCTCTTCCTTCCCTTAGATTCTCTCTATTTTTGTTTTGGTTCTTTTTTTAAAGTTCTATAAAGTTGTTGTTGCTGTTGATGTGTTTCAAGGAATGCCCATAAACGGTATTTCCTATGTACAGTGTGAACCTGTCTTAAAGGCAATACAAAGTTTTGGTATGGGATCATGAATTTGGTTCAAATGAACATATTGGAAGCATATGCGATCCTACAATATTCAGTGATCGTTGTCGCGGTTGAAATCGAGTCTAAAGTTATGACATTTTAAATAATAAACTCTTTATGTTGTATAGCTCCCTCTCAAGGTGAAGATATTAATTAAGCCATAAAATAATGTTTCTTGACTAAAAATCGACCGTTTGGCTATTCCCGTTTGGAAATTACATATTAAATCTACATATTCTGATATTTTCATGGTCGCAGCTATCATTGTATGGCCGTAAGCGCTATTTGAAATGTATCAACATTTACCGGTAGCACCGGTAAATTTTGATATTCAATTTTTCCTCGAAAGCAGAAGAGTTTTAGGGGCTAAATTTTCTAGTGCTTATAATACATCCACTGGGTCATCCAAGTATATCAAAATTATAAAGAATCACTATCCAGCAAATTTTCAAAATTTACCAAAACTTTGTATAAAGTATTCATTACAGGTAATATGATAATATTTTTTTTTTTTTTGGGGGGGGGATGATGTATCATTCTTGATTTCTCTATTGTTGATTCGTTTTTTATAGTGTTTTTACAAACAATTTGACAGAGAAATGAATAAATCTAATTAATTGGTCAGTAAGGTACGCGTACCAGGTAAATAACATGTACCATGGACTACTCATTTCAATGAATGGTATAATCGGGAATTGTATGATCAACTCTTCATTTTTAAGAAGAAAAAAAATCGAGTTACTTATTATTTTATTCGAGGAGCTCCAACTACTATAGCGTTCGTAATCAAGGTGATCATTAAAGATAAAGTTGAATTATTGTAATGCAACTGCATTGTGAAAGAACTGTATGGGAGCGACTGGAATAGATTGATCATGTTGGACATAATTGTTAGTTTATACAAAATGAAAAAGAATTTGACTCAGTCTTAATAAATGTCACACATAGCCTATTAAAATGCAGAATGAAAGTGTGGTTCACAATTTGGCTATTTCTTGTCATTTTTTTTTTTGAGATTATTTTACAATAACCTTACTAAAAAGAAAAGGCTCACAATTCTTTTTTTTTAAATCCCAGATTCAATTTTTTTTCTTTGAGATAAATAACACATCGGAGAGAGAGAGAAGAGAGGAGAGGAGGGGAGAGGATAGGAGAGGGGAGGAGAGAGGAGGAGAGGGGAGGAGAGAGAAACAGACAGACAGAGCAAACAAATCGGTTTTCCTCACTCACCCTGTGTCCCGGATGTCGAGCAGGTTGACTATATCCGAAGTTCGATATAACCACCACTCCAAGTAAACTTACGAATACCCGAAATAAATCCATTGAGAAAAATTCACACAATAAAAGCAAAGCAACAAACAATAGTTATTCCTATAAAATATATTCGGTTCTTTAACAGAATCATGAAACGTAAATGAAAACGTTTACTCTGTCACTCTGGCAAATTTATATGGAGATTATGAATATATATATGCTCGTTTAATCCTTATTTCGTTTAAATCATGTTCAAGGAAATATTTTGCACGTATTCTTCTAATTATTAATGTATTTTTAATTGATATCTCTCAGTAAAGTGCAAACCGCTGTAAACAAAAACAAAGATAACATTTAACAGCTATTTACCTTGATCGTAAGTCTCTTTTCACCGCGGACCTGTTCGCGGTGTTTGACTTTGGATGCATAGAAATGCTTTGGGAGCCAATTGTGGTAGTTTTCTAACCATCTAATCACCTTGATTTAAGTATATTTTATATAACATCATTGTGATATGATTGCAGTATCAATTATGGAAAGCATTTCCATTTTTGTGTATTTAGATGCCAGGAATAATATAGTGTTGTGTTCTTGGTAGATTTGGGGATTTCTCTCTCTCTCTCTCTCTCTCTCTCTCTCTCTCTCTGTCTGTCTCTGTCTGTCTCTATGTCTCTCTTTCTCCCCCCCCCCCCCCCCTCTCTCTCTTTCTCTACCTGGGGGGGGGGGGGGGCGATTGATTACTCAATCGAGATTAAGGGTATCAACGTATATAGGTGCTGAGAAAGGAAAGTCAAAATGGGGATTTGTTCTGTCAATTTACACCTTATGCAGGTTGTTCAAGTTAGATTAACATGTTTCACAATGTTAGACATGGGGAAAGTTCAGATGAACATAATTAAGATTTTGAGTTATTATTTCTCTGACATTTTTAATAATGATATATGTCTCATAAACCCATCAATTAACGCTGAACACGTGAAGGATGAGTGTAAATAGCTCACATTCCTTTTAGCAAGTGGCAGAATGTTATAAACACAAAAACATTACATTACTGATTTGACAGGATAATCAAGATTAATAGAATTAATTGACGCTGAAAAGGAAAAGCAGGAAATCTAAGTGATTTGTGCTGTATTGTGTCAGGCCTTCATGGTAGCCATTATCCAGATTAGATCGATGGATTAGTAAAAACCATAGTGCAGGATGATAGGATTCCTGGGGTTATAACTACTGTTTGCAGGGTTGTTGACAAGCAATTTAGTGAAGCATTGATTATTAGAACGTATAATATAAGGGAGAAGAAATTTTAGCAGAGGACTGTATAGAGGAAAATCCGGTGTGGCAGTGTAAATATCATGGTAAAACATGAGTGGTATTAGAAAAGAATTGAGTTGGAATTCATCAGGGCACCTACGTGGCACCTCCGATAAAAGTTTGTCTGAATTTCATCTGATTTTGATTAGCCCCTGGCACTAATCTAAACACCTCTGACAAGCAAAAAAAAAAGAAAAGGAGATAATATGGGGGATGGTTTGGGGGAGGGGTATATTTGACAAGTCATAAGGGACAACCCGCACCCCCCCCCCTGACCCCCTCCCCGTAACACCGCCCGTGATAAACCTCCCTTCTAAACACATGGTCCCACATATTATTTCCGTTCCATTCAAGACAAAAACCTATGAATAAAACATTACAAATATTATATTTCAAGTACAAAGGCAGTACATGTATATGAGAAAAATGCAAGTTTATGGGGGCCATTCGATATTGTGAAATTGTGTCTGTGGGGGCCGCTCTCATCACCTGGATACGCCGGTGAATGTTCAGTCACTTTTCGAGTTCCAATAGGGCTGTACCGGAAATCATGAGCTGTCTCTATATTAATTCGAATATAAACTTTTTGAATGCGGATTATGATCCCTAAAGTTCACCCACGAATTAAGGTTAATCGAACTTTGTCTTTATTTGATAAATCATTGTCTAATTATACACATAACTGAGGTCATTAGTAGATTCAGGAGTAGAGTAGATAATTCGGTTGATAACCAGGTAGTTCATCACGCAATCACAGGATGTGGCCGAGGACAAAATAATGAAGGCTTAAATTGGTGAAGATAATTGCTGATTCATGGAAACAGTTCATCTTAATAATACCGGTATAGCATCATGAACACCTCTTAAAAGTCTCAAACACTCATGTATGTCATAGAATGTTTAACCATTTAGTTTATGGTGTTTCTTCTTCTTCTTCTTTTTTCTTTTTTTTTTTGGGGGGGGGGGGCTTAAAATTAACCATGAATAAATCTGAAATATAACTTTGATTAACTCTTAACAAATACCATAACTGTAGCCAGGCGCGTACGCAGGGGGTGTTTGGGGGGTTAAACCCCCCCCCCTCCCCTTTGGTATTTTTATGTGTATAAACCCCCCTAAAAAAACCACAAACCCCCCCCCCTTTGTTTTTTTTGTTTTTGTTTAAATAATAATAATAATTAAAAAATGTCCTCTTACCCCCCCCCCCCCCCCCCCCCCGCTTATTCAGCGGCTGGCTGAGTCGTTGCGATTTTTTGGTGACCAAAAAAAAA